GCTGACGTCAGATTGTCAAGGATTTCTTTGTATGGTCATCTGCTTCAGACACGCTACTGGCACACTATCTGCCATTAAGTTGGTTCCTTATAAGCCTCACTTTCACCATGTAAGTCAGTCTGCCATTGGGAAAATAGGGCTACATTTACGGTACAAAGGAAGTGCGTCAACATCTGTGGAGCCAAAACAGGAAGAGAATAGCACTTGTGGTTTCCCCAGGAGTTAACCCCAGTTACCAAACGGTATCAATTTAAGTTCAGTTACTATTGCTAGTAGTGATAGTGTGCCTGCCTACAAGTGTTTAAAATACATATAATGTTTTTGACCATTAAAGGATGTAAACATGTTCCAGAAGAAACTGCAACGTGCAGCCTGACCTCATCACATAGTAACAGTAGTGTTTATATATTTACATCTGAACAGGTTGTACATACTAAACGTGGCTACTCACTTAACATTTTTCATTTGACAAACTCCTTGACAGTAGCAGAGTGAAGCTTTATACCCAGTTTTCCCATTACGTGTTTGTAGACCAGTCAGCCTCTGTATTTTAGTTGGTATGTCATTTAGTCTGGACGTCGACCAGTGTGACACGGCTTTTTCCACCAGGCACTGTTCTTCGTTTTTGTGCCAGTGCTTCACCTTCTCTGGCTCACCTTTTTACTTTCTGTTTGCATCATTACGGTTTGTTTAGTTTCCCAGAGGAATTGCGTAATTCTCTGGATGGCTTTGCGTGCTTACAGCTCAGAGCTGGACCTGCCACTTGCTATCAGGTTCCACCTCTGGAGCCATGACGTGAACTGTGAGTCACTTCCCTTAATTCAGTCCACTTTGTTGTTTAAACTTCTGCCCGCCTACTGTAAACGGGCAAGGATCAGTGCTCAGCCTCAGTGCTTTAGTCTCTGTTAGCAGCTGAAAGCACATATCTATAATAACTTCGTAGTATACTATATGCACCCACCTTTATGTCATTTACAAAACAATATGGGAGTACACTTCTGCTTTGAGAAGTGTCCCAGAAGCTAACACTACATCGTTTGCACCAGATTCGGCGAGGAGGGGACATGCTACTCCACTCAAACTGGTTGCTTAATGAGCTTCCCACCGGTGATGTACCGCATTGTGGAATGCACTCGATTGGATATATGTGCTGCTAGTTGGACAGCCCTTGGTTTTCTGCTCACCATTTTAAACAACAAACATGGCGACCTGCTTATAAACTTTCTGTTATTCCGTCTAAACCAGTGGTTCCCAGCCACAGGGTCCACATTTCTCCTTGGTCATTAGTTCAAGGTCCACACAGTTATATATATATTTAGTATCACACATTTCACCATGTAGTCCAGCTAGTTAGCTGTCTCCGTTAAGTAGCTGTCTGTCAGTCACTCATGCTACAGCACAAAATGGCACTTCAAAATAAAAGCTCTGTACCAGAAATTCACTGTACATCAAAATAATATTGTTGTTTTCCACAAACTTGGCACATTTGTGAGTCACTTGCAGTCCATTTGGGTCTGGGACCCACTTTTGGACTGTGGCCCACCAGTTGGGAACCGCTGGTCTAAACAATCCACCAAAATGTATTTCTGAACATTTGAGGTGAAAATGGCCGATGCTACTGCTAAATCTTATTTCATTGTAGAACTACATCGCCTAGTTTGACAGCTTGGTCAGAGTTTTGTGAGTCAGGCACATCGTGCTGGACAAACTCATTTGCGTAGAGTTGAATCCAGTCTACTTTATGCAAATGCAGACCAGCGAACACACCGCAAACTCACCCCCAAACTTGCCAGAATACACTCTAAGTACTTTGTGCTCCTTCTTATTTTATTCTACAGTGTATAAGAATGAATAGAAACCAATGAGTAACACTTCATCACCAGATGGAAATGAACTGGTGGAAATGCGCCATAAGAAAAATAAGCACCTTGTCTATTTTGATGTAGCTGCAGCGTGTTGCACAGAGTGAAACACAAAGTTTTTCTGCTAACAGCCACTGTATGTGAAACAGAGATGCATTTAAATAGTGACGGTGAATGTATTTTTAAGAACTAAAAACAGCTACAAATCTTTGATCCATTGTCGTTCATAACTTTTAACTGTATTAAGTTTGTCTGTAGGCTGCAGCACAACTGAGTAGGAAATAACAACAATTAACACAATTAAAACAGACAAGAAAAGAAACCATTTAACTACATAGCCGACTTACTTAGACGAGAAGTATAACTATCAAGGAAAAATGACGAAATCAACAAAATCTGGCAGGAGAAACGCTCTGCCTCTGGAATTTTCCCGGCATAATATGATGTCGTGCAAAGGATGCAAAAAAACAATTAAAAATAATGATGTCCTGACATTAATGTTAGCCAGGTAGCTAATGTAACGCTACATCAACAGGGTTGCAGCGGCTCCCACAAAAAGGCTTTTCTGTCTGTGTCAACCTGGTCTCACTCCTAAATCGTCGAAATCCGGCACTTGGGCAGTGACTTGTGGCATCAGACACTGACGATAAAGGCGTCCTTTATGATAAGCTGCTGGTTGCCGGGGGGGAGTGGTGGTGGATGGGTCCAACATACACCGACTTTCATCCAGAAGAGTGGTGTACCCGGTAAGATTATAAAAGCCAAACCCTGTTCCTAACCATGTCAATTCACTGTGTTGTACTGACATAGTGCATTTATTTTGTAAGTGACTGTATGTATACAGTAAATTTCCTGTAAAACCAGAGGTGTATTTTGAAAGAACACAATGCATGTGACAGGCAGAACTTGAGACATCGTCCCAGAATGTCAACAACCAACGCACCCAGGGTACCTTTCACATCATGTTTAAACGTGGAAAGTCTATGACCAAACGTCGATATGTGAAGAGGCCGGAGTGAGAACACAAGCGCATTTCTGAAAAATTGAGAGACTTTAAACTAAAAGTGTTTGAAGCAGCTGCACACACAAAAAAAAGAAGAAGCTAGCGCTCAGGAAAAAAAAAAACTCTATGTAGACACTCAGCCTCACTGCTTTACGCTTTCCTTCAACTCCAAGAGAACCAGTTCTTAAATTCACATTCTATCATCAGGCCTGTTCTTTATCAGCTCAAAATTTGAAGATAATTTGCCACTCCGCCCTCTGAGCTCATTTGAAAACCTAATGGATTTAATTGCAGCAGAACATCTTTTAATGTGGGTTCCAACAAGCGTTCTCATTTTATCACCCATCAAAGTGACAACTCTGTTTACTGGACCACATTAACCATCAAAGTCGTCCGCCCGTCTTTTAAACATTTAAACCTGTTTTTATTGGTTTGGCACCATTGTCACCCTGGCTCAAATTTGTTTTATTTGTTTTCCCACTGTTGGTTATCATTTTCATTTTTCTGTGAGGCTTGCATCATTTTTAAAAGCTCCCTGGGATTTCTTTGTTCCACCCGGGCAATTTGGATTTCTTTTTAAGCATTGTTTGTGTGTGTGTGAGAGAGTCCACTAAACTTAAACCCTTGTAAACACAACATTACAGTGTTTCCTAAGACCTCACAAATCGTCACATGAAAGTGTTTGATTTCACTCATGTTTTCCAGTCAGCACTCCATATTGATTAGTATGACGGCATGCTGAATGGTTGTGCCAATCTTGCAGTGAGAGCGTACTGTAAACCTTTTGACTGTGTTCTAACTGCAGCTTTAAATTCCAATGTTCTACTAGATCAGAACTTAAGTCATTCAACTTAAATGCGACTTTTGACTTGAGTTACTGTGTATTAGTATATAAGGCAAAGCTGTTGCACCCTGTATACCCCTAGAAAGGAAATGAAGCCAAGCCCAGATGAAGAGACAACTGCAATCAAGGTCTGCATACCTTTGATGATTTAATCCTTGTGTGAGTAAAGTAATTTGTTCCCTACAAGCTCCCGGTACCGTTCTAATATGTCACTGTATTTGCGCTGCTTGTAACCATTCCCAATCTGTTTTTCACTGATTTGACTGCCTTATACTCATGTGTTTATTTAAGAAACAGCTCGTCCTCAGCCCCTGCTCTGGTCTTACTTTACATCATCTCCTCTCCAGTATTTTCTGTAGCTACGCAACCAACTGCAGAGTAGACAGTCTACTACCTGAATACACCAGGAAGAGCATGCCCAGTGTACTTGATTGGTCATGTAATATAGGTTTTCATTGAAAAGGTATTAGTGTGGATGTGGCCATGAAGTCAGCTTCAGGAGAGCACAACAGAGAGAAGAGTAGAAACCCCAGAGTGAAAAAACAAGGCTTCCTGGTTTCTCTATCTGCTTTGTCTTGTTTCATGATAAGTTCCCACCACTTCCACTGTATAGAACTGGGACGATACCAGTGAGAGGGCTGGTGATGAGTGAGTGGAAGCTCTGGACTGGATCGTTTTGCATCTTAGACACTGAGCTCTGACAGTTTGCCATACATTAAAGTTGATTCATGAGTTTGTCTGCCAAGATGCCACATTTCCCATGACCTGATGGTGTGCACCTCCTGAATCTGTGTATCAACATAGCTGAATGAGAAAAAGAAGAAGAGCACCACCTATAGAAATATCGTCCAAAGAAGAGGAAAGCCGATGAGAGCCTCCGTATCCAAGATAGAGTGCAGATAGAAATACATGAGGGTCTTGCAGGCGACCACTGAAGGGGAGTTAGTTGTTCCCTTCCTGTTTCATTGTCACACCTCATTGTTACCTAATTATCTGAAAGTTACAGAGAAAAATACCTTTGAGTTTTATGTAAGAGCCACATTTTGTGTCGACGGCTTCCCATAACGTCATTTCCCCTCAGTCTGTGTGTACAGTCTACATTCTAATCATTTGATGAGAGTGAGCTGACGTAGTTCAAAGCCGTCCCTGGTAATGTTTCCACCCAGGGACCCTTCATTATCCCGCCTGTGTACAAGTGTGAAATCCTTGTGGGATTCTAAGGGGCCACCGCCAGCTTTGACGGCGCGCTTTTTAATTAGCCCCTCTCTAACGAGTGGAGTCTCTCCTACAGATCAAAGTGGAAAATCAACAGGACTTCCAGGACATCACCAGCGTGGTGGCTCTGGCTGGGACCTACGCCACCACCGAGCCCTACGTCCAGTCCAAATACGATATCCGCATCCAGAAGATCGGCAACAACTACAAGGCTTACATGTAAGATGTTTCACACCACCAGCATCGTACATTTACATACACAGATGGAGTGAAGCTGCATGTTTTGGGCCAATATCATCAGTGTTGGCCACATTTACGTTTTGTCAAAGTAGAAAATTGTCTGAAACAGCATTAAAACCATCATTAGACAGTACAGAGTAAATAGTTCCAGGAACAATGGAGCCACAGGAAGTGACAAAGGAACTGAACTAGAACCAAATATCTTCCACCATCACACTTATGTGTTAAAGACATTATCTGCAGTGTGTATTCATTTCAAGAGAAAACATCTGCTCCATTATTTCAGTGCACATTCAGCCTATTTACAATCTTGTGAATATTGCTTTGGTTTTTGTGATCATCACAATGCTCATCTTGTCATTGGATCACTGAACTGCTTTGCGTATGAGTCATTCACTTTGTCCAAGTGTATTTTACAGCCATGAGGTTTCAACTCTTCTTTGGAATGTGTTAGAACACTGAGTTAGTTAGTAGGAAAGCAGGTGGTGCCTGCAGGACAGTCAGGCCAGTCTGAAAATAGTAATAAGGGGTCATTCGTAGCCATGGCTGATATTTCAATATACTCAAAGAAAGGGAGAAACAAAATAGGATATTATATATCGTGCATGCTGGTAAATTCTTCTCTAAAACTTTTACTTTATTCTCTCTAGACATCTGTGTTAGCATTAGTTAGCATGGTACATTTACAGCTTTGGTCAGCTGTCCTAATGCTTATTCTAATGGGGCGGCAGTAGCTCAGTCCATAGGGACTTGGGTTGGGAACCAGAGGGTTCAAGTCCCCCAAAATATTGAGCATGGACTGGTCGCTGGAGAGGTGCCAGTTCACCTCCTGGGCACTGCTGAGGTGCCCTTGAGCAAGGCACCAAACCCCCCCAACCGCTCAGGGCGCCCCACTCTGACATCTTTCCACTTTGTGCATGTATAGGTCCTGTTTATGCATGTGTGTGTCTTTCTGACCTGTGTGTAATTGACAAGCAAGAGTGAAAACATTGAATTTCCCCTCAGGGGGATTAATAAAGTAAATAAACTTAAAACTTAAACTTAATGCTAATTATACTTAAAAAAAACTGAACAACCAACTGAACAACCAACTCTCTTCCTTAGAGGGTCTTTTAGCACAGCCAACAACAATGAACAAGACTTTTGAGGCAACCAAAATGTAACAATGAACTTTCATGAACTGAAAACACACTGAGATAGCAACAGCTACGGCTTCGCCTATACTCTGTAAACTTGGGGTTACACCATGTTGTGGTAGCGAGTTGTCAACAGACAGCACTCACCTGTTACTCAAAGCAGCCACACCTTTAAACATGCGCAACTTTAAGCATTAATGACATTTAAACAGGTGAGTTAAAAAAAAGAAAAAAGAAACCCTGGCACAGTTGTCCCAAATGGGGAAATTAGCCATAGATGTCCCAGGCTGTAAACGTGTTTATTTCTGCTGTCAAATTGGGCATTTTAGTTTTCATTCCACTTATTTATGGTATATTATGGTAAATATATTATTGGTTTGATTTACAGAGGTACCCTTTTAAACATGAAAAAAAAAATCACCCTAACAAAAATGGATGTATTACTCATTTTTAACAATCCCATTTTTCTCTGTTGATAAAACGCATATAATTAATTTGATTATTATTTTAGCAAAATATGATACACATAAAATGACTACCTTCATTTTTTATTTTCAAAGATATATATTTTAAAATGTACTTGAATACTATTGAGAATGTAAAACTCAAATATTATAAACTGGCAAAAACCATTTAATCATTTAGACATTTCAGTTTTATTTATTTCACATTATTTTTATTCTATAAAATAAATTTCATTCAACTTTTATAATATAAAATCTGGAACATAAAGTCTCCATGTAATGAATGTATTCAATAAAGTTAAATTTATTTAAAAAGTTTAAAACTTAGTGCGGATTGACTCACTTTTGGAGTCAGCCTCAAGTGGTCATTTGAGGAATTGCAGTTTTGGGCATCTCTGTATTGGCTTCATTTTTTAGCCCTAGAAGTTGCTGCTTGGTCAAAACAGAAGGAACAAGCCATATAATGTAAAAAAAAAAAAAGATTATTTCAAAAATTTGCAATTTGTTTTTTATTTATTTAAGAAGGGACAATATACATTAATCCACATTTAAACAAATGTTAATTGCACCTGAGTTAGGAGAAAAGCTAGTTTTCTTCCATTGTGCATTTTCCTGATATTACTAGGTGACCTAAAATAATAATAGGAATACAATGTGAAGCATACAATATGTACAATGGTACCAAAAGTTGGCTTTGAATGTCTGATCATATCTTGTTTACTTTTCTGGTCATATCCTGATTTTTAAAATCTACATTTTTGGCAATTTCAGACTATTAATTTTTGCTGTGGGGCCGCTAATGTTAAACCACCTTTAAAGGAAAGAAAAATAAAGAAACAATTGCTTTTTTTTTCTAAACTCTGTGATGTCTGCACTCTGACAAAGTCACAGTCCGTTCCTCCTTCAACCACACACCCATTTGGGAGCGAGAGTCCATGTTCTGTAAATTCAGTCGAGCGTATGTTAACAAAGACCATGAGTCAACACCCTCTTAATTCTCAAGTCTCTGTATCTAAACAATGACTTGACCAAAAGCAGAGGAACAGTTGTAGCCAAGCCTTATCTCATCTCATTTTCCCCTGGCCTCACCATGAAAGCACGTCTTTAAACGGCTCCGACACAAACATCATGTAGGTGTGGATGGCGTTCATCAGCACTGATGAACTGACGATAGCTTCTCCCATGAGTTTTCTCTATTCAGCTACACAGGCAGAAGTTGTGAGCGACTAAGTCTTGGTGGGGCATTATAACCGGGGGCTGGTTGATTCATTTGTTGATGTTTGTCTTTGATTTGCAGGAGAACGTCCATCTCTGGGAACTGGAAGGCTAACACGGGCTCTGCCATGTTGGAACAGATCGCGATGACTGACAGGTGGGCTGAGTCAGAGACATGATGGGAAAATAATGACCTGTTTATTCTATTTACCACCCTTTGTACTGATACAACTTTTATGTATAAAGACTCCCTAAGAATTCTTAAGTTTTTGATGATCTTTGGAGTGTTATGGTTTAAACTTATTTGTAACTCTGAGCCCTACAAAGCCCCACCTGACCTTTGTGTATTCTCTGGAGATTATTGGGTCTTCAGTTATGTGTTTGTTAGTAATTGGTGTCACTGTGTTCCAGATATCGGCTGTGGGTGGACTCCTGCGCCGAGATGTTTGGTGGCCTAGACATCTGTGCAGTGAAGGCCGTCCACGGAAAAGACGGCAACGACTATATCATCGAGGTAGGTTTGTTATTTGAATAACTTAAGCTCCAACTCCAGTTTCTGTAGGAAAATTTAAGACGGTTTCAAGAAAAAGGGGTCTGAAACTTGCTATCAGGAACATTTTTGGACCTTCAGTGTATTTTGGAACAAATACGAAGGTCTATTTAAACCATCAATTTTATCATTATTGACAATTTGCCAGGACTTGACCTACACCAGTCCTCTGTGGACCACTTCTTAGTAGCACTGCATGGTAAAACACCTATGCATTGTAAGTAACCTTGGATTCAGTCTCCTCTCCTGCTGATATGTCTCATATCATCGTGAACGTCAACAGGGAAGGGTGTAGCCAGACTTGATGGCACAAGATCATCAGAGCCTTGAAAGAATGATTAATGTGTAGACCAAACAAAGGCAGGAGAAGGGGAAACATCAGGAGTCAGCATTTGACTCACAGCCTGTTTATTTTCAGTCCAATAGTAAAGTTTGGTGCGTTACGTGCAGTTTCCAGTTTGGACACAAATAAAATAGCTGTTGCATGACCAGACACGGGCAGTGTGCTGAAGGTTTTTCTCACAAAGTGGAAGAATTTCAAGTTGTAGGTTTCCCCAGTGGGGTAAACATGGCTGTAAATGCCTAGACACACCAAGCCGACTTCAGAGAGCTCGTGGTGAGGAAGGCCCCCTGCTGCATCACCTCACATCACCTATGTCTCGGCTATTAAGTTGCACATGAACACACCACAAAGACTGCAGCTGATGGCCAAACAGCACGTACGTTCTGTGCCTGCATGACAGGAAATAACTCCACATCAGCAGACCATTCAGAAAGGGAAACCAGAGGAACATGTAAACAGTGACGAGGCAGTTTCTTCTGACTTGGTTCTTTGAATAAATAGTGCTTACTTAAGAAATACTCTGTGAAGGTTAATGTTACAAAGGGCCCTCACATGTCAAGCCAATTGCTGGCCATCAGTAAGTATCTGTAGCTCTAGTTTTTGCTTTGTATCCCGCACCATTAGCACTAATCGGCCCTTATTAGTGGTCTTTATGGCTGATTTAGGATGTTGAATTGGTGTCAAACCCAGTGAAGCCGATTGGTGAATGAAATCTTTCTGTTTGGCAGTTTAGCAGAGTGCATGAGAAGAGAAATGGAAGTGAGGAAAGTAAACAAAAGAATAAACAAACGAGTGCATGAGATCGAAACAAACTTGCTACATTAGTATTATCAGTAATGTTATATTAGTATATATTACGTTAGGTGAAATTATGTTTTTTGCTGTTGAGCTCTTTAGCATAAACAGTTTTGTAATTGTTTGTGTGAATGTTAATTGGTGCACCGTAAATATTCTTTGTTCTTCCAACATTGGGTTCTGTTGTTAATGTACTAACTGGCTAACTAGCATCTTGAATCTGTCCTATTGGTCTTCCGGTTTCCCCTGATGAATACAGACTACCGTCACATGCTGGTACAGAGAGTTATTCCCTCTCGCAGGTGCAGAACATACATGCTACTTGGCTGTTGGCTGTAGTCTTTGCAGTGTGTTCAAGCGCAACTTTTTGGCTTAGACACAAGCAACATGGGGCAACGCAACAGTCGATCTTTGTTGCCACTAGTTCTTTGATGTCAGTTAGATGTGTCTGGGCTTCAATTGCCACCAGCTTGCTGTGACCCCCGTCACTACTGATGGTCCGTCACCAGAGCAGCCAAACTTTCTTCTCGTGGTGAATAGTTTCCTAGTGATGGTGGGACTGTGAGATGTGCTGGCTTTCTAACCCTTGTCTCATTTGTGGTCTGATAAACAGAGAGAGAGATTTAGAGATTTATTCAATGACAGGAAAAACTAAGCACACACATAGCTGCAATAAACTCTGTAACCTGTAAGGCGGAATTTATACTTCTGCGAGTCTCTGGCTCTGCCTCGACATGAAGCCGAGAAGACGGATGTAACTGACGTGCACCTCCCCAGAAATGTAACTACAGGTCGTGGCGACAGTCCTGTCTATTTTTGTCACAAAAAAAAAAAAAAAACTTTTTTCATTTCCTTAAAAGTAGCAATTTTGGGCATATGAAGTTTCCGCCAAATAGCTCTGCAGTGTGTAATGGGAAAAGAATCTCTCACGGTAATAAAACCCCAGAGAGTTATCACTGACTCTGCAGTTTCCCTCAAATCTATGGAGTGTTTTGGTGACTTCTAGCTAAATTGATCGCCAATCAAAAGGAAGACAGACATCATCGAAGAGGCAGAGACCAATTTCTATCTCTGCAAGACCTGCAAATAGACCAGAGTGCAATTCGGCAACAGAGATTTGAGATTTTTAAGTGGCATGACTAGCTTCCTCTCAGGTGGAAGACATCTCAGTCTGCTATCAGGGTCGGTGTCATTTTCTCCACTGGCACTTTAAAAAACTGTTAAAATGCTCATGCAGGTTCATCTCTGTTGTACAGGGGCTGCTGCAAAACAGAACGACTGATATACTACACGCAAGTACAATATGGTGCAGGAATTTTCCTTAAAGGATTAAACCCAGGAGAGAAGGGCTGTATTGTCTGTAATCAGTTGTGTTTTCAGCGTGGTCTCCTATGTATTCAAATCTGAGGAAACAGGCCGGTCTGGGACGTCTGATGGTCCCATATTTAGCTCGAGGCCATGACATCACACTCCTCTCTATCTGTGCACAGGGTGAAGTCAGCAGTGAGAAAATAAGCCTCTTTTTTTAAACTTCAATCTCAGGAAATATCCACCAGTTCCCCAGAGATATGTTTCTAAGAGCCCGACTGTTTGGAAAGAAAAACTGGTGACACAGTCGAGTAACAATGTTCTGTGACCAGCCACACTTCCTCCACCTCCTCCTCCACCTCCTCCTCCTCTCGCTGTCTCCCTCTAACCCTTCAGCATGATGGAATTTAATTAACCGTGACAGGGAAGAGCTGCCGGTGCATCACAGTGGGAATCTGTTTTTTGTTCCAGACAAAGACATCAGCCATGACACCTCTCCCTAATGAAAAGTAATGAGCTGCTCAGAGGCACTTCATTAGCTCTTTACTGCAGCTGGTTTTAACATGAAACAAACTCCCGCTTTGTGTTGATGCACTGAAAACGTTTGCAGATACTATGGAGGAGGCTGTGACAAGGCATGATATCACACAACATTATGACACAGCAAGGCACAGCTGATGACATGATGGTAATTATAAAACATGACAACAGAAAATTGACATGACATAAAATGACAAGCCTGACCAAATCTTCACGCAAGTAAGGCCCTGATCACACAGTAAGAGTTTTAGCAGCTGGAGGCACCTTTTGTAATTGTTTTTAACGACAAGGAAGCTTTTTGCTCACGGTTTTTGTGTTGCTGTGTACCTGGCGTTTCTGCGCTGTAGGTGCCTGGCGTTTTTGCCAGAGCTCTCTGAACTCCTCCAGTTGAAAAAACTTCATCTCAGAGCGCAAAACGCCCCATGTCGTCTTCTTTTTCCCCATTGTCCAATCAGATGATTTGAGAGGTGGGCCTTCTGTGGTGGTCACGACAACAAGTTTAAAGTTGGTAAACAATGGAGGACAAACTGGAAACTGGTGGTAGCGGTTGGATACCCAGAGCTATACAGCCTGACGATAGATAGCAGGTTGTCAAACTGCCCCTAAGTCATCCTAAAATATGCCTGGAAATGGCCATCATCGAGGAGAATTGATTGATTGAAAATAAACGGTAGATTGATAACATGGGAAGGTTTCAAGGGGCGTTATCAACAGCTGTCGACCAAAATGCCTCTTTTCACAACTGGATAGATCTACAACCAGTCAGAGCAACAAAACGTGACATAGCGCTAACTGTCGGGCAAATGTAAACAGACTGCAGCGTACACAGATGAGCTGTGGTGGTGTAGCAGTAACATGCCTGTGACCGAGTTTTACTGTCTGCGTTTGAAAATTGTGCTTCAACAGCACCCCTCTAAGCTAAGTATGTGCTCGCTGCTATCATAGCTGACAAAAACTAAACTCAAAACTTAAAGTAAGTGTAAAATACTGTTTCTGAAATGATATAGTGTACTTCCAAAACTAGCTAAAATAAAATGAAAATATATACAGGAAATGTCTTGAGGAGGATACAAGAGGAGGTGTTGCTGCACATGTTTATTGAGACTGGAATGTCTACATGACTGTGAGTCAACTACCTTGATAAAATGTTGGGTTTGTATTGTAATATCTAGTCTTAACTTGCCCCTGACTAATACCCACCGTAATACTGAAACTGATAAAAACTAAACTGAAACAAGTAAACCTGCTCTGGAGACTAACTGAAGCTAAATTGAATTAACAATGAAAATTAAAAACTACATAGAAATAAAAGCTAATAAAATACACAAAACTATAATAACTCGTGTGCATGAGTGAAAAATGAAGTCGTTGATTCTACACCGGTCATGATAGAGTCCACACTTATACTGATGTCCAAAGAAATGTACAAAGAAAAACATATTTAACTGTAGCTCAGAAAGTATCCTGAAAAGACACTTAAGAAAATGTTGTACAATGGCATAAAAAAAACAGTTAAACAATCCTTAAAGGATCTGACATATGACTAACCGGTGTCGTCATGACAACGTGTTAACAATGTTCAATGTTGTAAGTGCTGTCATCAGGTCGACATTTTAATTTGTCCAGGACTTCCAACATTGTTGCATTAGCCTATCTGGAAAACTAACGCCATCCCAGTGAGCCTCAGCTGTATTTTGTGTTTATTGTGGGTTAGCCAAAGCTAGCATGCTAACACACTAAATGAAATCAGTTCAAAAAGACATTGTACTTGCTGGACATCATCATGTTGCCATTGTTTCTGTGAGTATGTAAGCATACTGAAGAAAGCCACATGAATGCAGTGTCATGACACAACACTGTGAAATGAAATGACATCATATCACATAATGCAACCCAACAATTGGACACACATTTGACACTGCTCAACAATGACGGATATGGTGACATCACTCACCAAATTGTGAAACTTAGCAGTGCT